CGCGAGTACAACACAGACATAAAAATACACACACACAGGCCCACACGAGGCGTTGAAGAACAAGCAAAGATACAGACAAAGGGATGACCTATATATACATGAAGTACGCCTAATCTGCATTCGCTTTGACTTTTAAATTTTGCGACACGGACTTTACAAAAGAACGAAGTGGTCGGAGAAGTGAGAGGATAGTAAGAGAGAAGAGGGGAAAGAGGAAGGAAGGAGGATACATGATGTCCGATGCACAGACGCTGTTGTAACGCGTTGTAGCTTGGTGCAGATGTGTCGTTGAGATCGGTGTAGATTTGCTTAAGAGATCAGGGAAAAACTCTTCCAACTCTCTCATTTTCCACGGTCGGTCTGTCCTCCTTCATCTCGCTTTGCCCACACTTTTCTTCACCCCTTTCGCGATTCATTTTTATACAGATGTGCTCGCGCTAGAAAAATTATCGCTTATTTCATAAATATTCACTTTTTTTAAATGTAAATGAGGAGTTGTGTAAAAATAAGTTATACGTTGCCTCTTAGATAGCGTGCGTACGCTTTCGTTAAATAATAATTTATACGTTCGGGCAGAAAAATTTAACCAAACGAGTAATGTAATGAGAACACATAAGTCTCGAGGTTATTTTACACGAAATATTAAGAAAAATCAGTTGTATTTTTTACTTTTCTCTTTGTTATTCTTCATAAAGCAATTTATATTAAAATACAATGAGATTGTATCGATCGCGGAAACTTGCAAATTAATAATAAAATAACAAACTGATATTGAGCGCGAAATACATATATATGTTAGTTTATTTGTATTTTTACCTAAATTAATCATATCTATATTTATAACTTATTATATATAGAATATTTGAAGTAAAATAATGTCTGAATAATTAAATAAAATTATTTAGTTATAATAGTTTTATACATACTTTAATTAATTTGAAATAATTTTACATAAATCGAACTATCTCTTTACATAAATTATGAAAATATCTATTATTCAATTATTTTAATCAATACTCAAAAAATATGTAGCTGCTCGTTACAAATTCATATTTTTTTCTTGAAAACAATTATGTGTTTTTTTTTTATACTAATTGATTTCTCTCGATATTTTGTCTATAAATATTAAGGTAAAATAAATGAAATTAGAATAAGATTAATAAAAAATAATAATGTTTTGCGAGATTTTTCATGATTTATATAAAATTATATTAAATTAAAATAATATAAAATATATTTCGAATATTATATATATATTTTACCATTCTACCCTTATAACTTTTACGCCAAATACTGTAAGAAATTCAATTTACATAAAAATAATTTTTATATAAAATTTATATATAACAAAGTTAAGATAATTTCATTTGAAACAAATAATGCCGAAATATGAAGTGATGGCAATGACATATCTAATTTGTTTCTTATATACTCCACAATTTTTATTTGAACAATTTCTTAACACTTCCTGCTTACGAATTATTCAGGTGTACTATTTTATTTCGTATAATATCTTCGTATAATAGACTAAGCATTCTCTTATGCGCTACAACTGATGACATGATTGAAGGATTAAAGAATTAAAATGCTTTTCATACACAGCTTTGAAGAGGAAGGATATAAGAGAAAAATAAATGAGAGCTTATCATTTCTTTTTTCTTTTTCGCATCAACTGCAAAATCAGACAAGGAAAACATCTCTTTATTTTCTTATTATTGTTATTTTTAAGCCTCCAATGGGAGCATTCAATCTATATAAAGTCAATGGATGCTCACTGGCGTTAAGTCATAGTGATGATGTAATTGCTCCGATATTCTCATTCACGTCAGTGGCAACGAATGATGATACATTTTGTTGAGATCTGCATGTGTACATTTGCTTCTCTTTGATAAAAACGCAGTAAAAACTTAAAATTCTATCTTTCTGATACAATGTTAGGAATGGATAACGTCTACCGAAATAGAAATTTAGAAGCATAAATTGAAATTGCAGCGTTCCCATATATGTGTAAAGCTATGACAATGATATTGCTTTTGTTCACTTTTTCACAGAGCGCATACAAAACGGATTTGAGATATTTTAACATGAACATATTTCATTTTTATCTCACATTAAAATTAAGTGTATTGTATAGTAAGTGTATAATAAAATTAATCAAATATCATAGAAATTGAAATAGAAAAAAATGTGTCAAATAATATAATATGAGTTTAATAATATAATAATAATATAATAATATAATATTAAAATTGATAAATGAATAATAAGAAAGAAAATCATAATTTATACATAATTTATTTTCGTACTTTAATCTATAATATTATATAACTTTTAAAGAGATTTATAAACTTTAATATAATTGTATATATATGGTAAATGTTTTACTTTAGATTACACAGCATGAACAAGTTATATTTTGACATATATTGTAAAGAATAATTAAGTAATACACCGTTTGAATTTTGCGGCGGTCTCTTTTCATTCCTAAGAAATGCAATATTGAAATTTCATAGTTACTTCTATCATCTTTTTATTATATTCTATTTATGTGTTTATATTTTTTTAATATTATGGCAGAATTAATCTCCTACACGATCTATAAGATAAATATAAATTAATAAAGTATAAAAATTGCACTTTTTATTTTATCTAAACTTTTAATAAGTATTTGTATATAACTTCATTCGTTTTGCCTATATACATACATGTATATTTTTTCCACGTAAATATAATATTTATATATTAATAAAAGTAATCAGTTGTTTGTGATTGTATTCAATAGTACATTATTTCCCTCATTAGTACTGAAATAACGCCTTATTTCGATATTTGGACGCTTATAGTGACAAGACGACTCCATCAAACGATATCACGCTTATTGTGATTTTTTATTTGCCACATAAACTATTTATTTCCAGAGTTTCTGCAAATTTTACCAAACTTCAAAATTCATTTTCCATAAGAATTGTACGAAGTCTTTTGTTTATAAATGACTTTTTTCATTTTTTTATGAAATTAATTTAAAAATGTATAATTATTTAATTGTTTAATTATACAATGTTATACGTATATCTTTGATTTGAGAAAGAGACGAGTGTAAGTAATTTTCATAATAGCTATTATATCTTATAATAGAATTTATAACAACATAACTATTTAGATAAATTATTTCATGTTAAACTTGAATTACAAATAAATCCATTATCCGGGAATATGGCAGAGCCTAAAATCAATTGGATATAATCATAATAACTAATCATAAATAATCAAAAATAAAAAGTTTTTGGTACATATCAAAAGTAGCATTATTATGTGCTATTGTTAGGAATAAAGTTTTTATGTGTGTTGAGTGTGTAAATATATTTTTCTGTTATATTGTTTTCATCACGATTTGTTGATATTGTTTCATAAATCATACTATTATTTTAAATTAATATCCATACTATTATATTCGTTGAATGCATAAAAACTTATGTTTTAGAACCTATGTATAAGAATACCTATGTATACCTATGGATACCTATGTATAAGAAATATTTAAAGTGATTATACATTCGTTAACGACATAATTATTGAGTAATATTAACTGCATATTTTAATGCATCAGAAGTACATAATCTGATATATTGCTTGATTTATTGTTTAATACACTATGCACGACTTTCGATTCTTCATCGATTTCTTTAATTATTGATTCCTCATGAGTTATAGGATTCGCTTTTGCCATTATGGCTATGCATATTATATCACTTAATAATGGTTTTAAGAATGTCATGTTAAATTTCACTCAGATATCTATAAAAAACGTTTCTTCATTAAACACAAATTAGAATATGCAGCAATTTAGTCGACTTTTGTGTGAAAAACCGCTCAAGATTTCAACTAACATTTCGTAAGAAAATAAGATTAATGTAAAAACTAAAATAATAAAATTTAATAAATAAAGGAATAATTAGAAAAGATAAATATTAAACTTATTGAAACGACATATGAAATATTTTTCTTGGATTGGAATACTAGGAGACATAAATGACGTATTTAATTAATTCCAAAAAGGACAAACATAATAAATATAGTTTTTATTTATCTCAAATTTAGTTTTATTTTAAGATTTTTTCTAGTGCAATTACATATTTCGGTGTCTTGCATATTGTGACATACATAATAAATTTTGAAAATACTAATCTTTTTCTTATATATATATATATGTGAAATTTAAGCATTGAAATGTAAGAGAAATAAAGGAATATTCTCAACAACGTGATTTTATACATGATATGGATTGTATGTTTACTAACATGTTATTTTCAAGATCAATCTGCTCCTTAAGTAAGAAACGTATTGAAAACATACAAACAATATACGTATAACGGAAATAAAATATTATCAAATATTTGAAATTTTGATGCTATTGCAAATTGGATCAAACATTCGGACAAAATTCTAAAAAGACTATGCTAACATTTTTATAACACATCTTTTTGAATAAAATATTAATTTTTCATTATTTGTTGTTCACACACATACACACACACATTCGTTCATTACATCCAAATTTACATATCCTCCACACACACACACATATTTATCTATAAAATAAGCATTACGTAAATATATAATTAACATCTACATATTAAATTTGTAATACAGAAAATTAATACAATATAATATTAAAAGCGTTCATAATATGAATTATATTGTAATTATATTATATTGTAATATAATATTATATTGTAATATATTATATTGTAATATAATATAATAATATTTTATTGTAATATAATATAATAATATTTTTATATTTCAATATTATAGTATATATAATTTTTTTATATTTCAATATTATACAATAAAATATTTTTAATCATATTGTATAATTAATATTATATATATGATTAAATACAATTAAACAATTATTAACTTTTATATGAAATCAATAAATAATTAAATATATACATTTATAAATATTAACACAACCATTTATCCTGTATTTTTAATTCATAAACAATTAATGTGTTAAAAATCTAATTATTGATATAATCTAATTATTTGAATAAATTATATGAATAAAAACCGAAAATATTTTGTCTGCCTTTGGATTTCCCACCAGCGTGTTATTATCTTGTTTTCAACTTTGATAATTGAAATGGTTGAACTTTTGAGCTTGTTGATTACAAATATCATTATCTAAAATAGATTATTTTAATAATTATTATAATAAATAATTTTATATTTTTAATAATTGTACTATCACACATGCAGAATATCATTATGAACAAAATTCAGAAAAAATATTATATAAAATATAACAATTATAGTGAAACGTAAATTTTAAAATAAAAATTTAAAAAATGTAGAAATTTGATTTATTTAAAATTTACCTCATGCAACTGTTCTTCAGAATACGCATTGTTAATTATAACAATTAGTGTGGCAATCTCATTAACTCCCCTATGAAGAATAAAACAATACATTTATAATTCATTCGTACAATAAATCTTCATGTATATGTGTAGCATATTTTTGTAAATAATATCGTTACCTACGTACCTCATTACTTTGTAATTATCTAATAAACTTGTAAGCATATATTTAGTACCCCTCTCAATGACAGAAAGAAAAATTTTAGCATTTAAAGCATAAGCTGACTCTATCGGTTCAAGTTGAAAATGAGATCGATTATACATAGATTCTAATAAAATTTGTGATAATATTACTTCTAAATAATTAATTATAATTTCAGAATTTTTACTGTAAGCCAGACATTCTAAAATTGTATCATTTCCTTCTATGTAATTATTGAAAACTGTATTCCATATATCATTATCTGCCTTTTTCAAACCATTACAATATGTCCACCTCTTCCATCCAGGCAAAAGTCTACAGAAAACAGTCCAGAATAAAAATTAAAATCTTCTAACGAAATTGTGTTAATAGTTTCTTTAGTGTTTTATAAATAATTTTTTTGACATAAATAATAAATAATTTCTCAAACATATGCAAAATATTAAAAATATCTCCTAAAAAGAAACAAATATTATGAAAAGAATTACCTGTTTTTTTTAGGATTTGCTAGATGCCATTTCAAATGAACCCTAGACTTTTTTTCACAAGGATCATTATTTATAATACATTCCCACCTTGCAAGTTCTTGTTTTAAACATTTAGTATGATCGTTGGTGCTACTTTCGTCGTACAAATTCCAGTAACCATTTTCAAAATTCCGCATAAAATCAAACCTTAGCACTCCCTAAAATTTAGTAAAATATATAGTATCATTTTATTTAATTCATTCATTATTTATCATTTTTCATTACAAGAACAAATAGAATATATGCGCAAATAATATAAACATTTTTATTAGATGATTTTCTATTCCATATTTCTTTAATATTTATGTGATTTTATAGCATCAATGATCATAATGATTAAATTTTCCAATTTTTTATTTGTGTGTGAATAATTTTGTCTACATTTTATATCATTTAAAAGTAGAGATGGATTTTATATTATCTAATTAATTCTTAATATATACAGAGTGTTTCTTAATAAGTGCAAAAAATTTTAGGAAATGATTCTTTGTCGAAAATTCGAATAGAATAGATCATAGAATGTGCGCGGTAGGCATGTCAGCGGCGATTGTCGCAATGAAAAACCAAGAGTCGAGGTACGCGTAATTAAGCTTTACGAGACACTCTGTATGTACATTTTAGTCTATGCATATTGATTGATATAATTTTGATATATTGATCGGTTATTTTCTTCATTTAAATCAGTGGCATATCAAACATAGATTCTAAGTATTTCAAACTTTAAATATATCAATTTTTTTTATAAAACATGTATTTACAAGGGGATTATTAGTATTACATAACGTGACAAAATTATTTTAAAATTATAAGTCAATTTTTCAGCAAAATATTTGTACATTTTTAATACCGTAAATATTCTAATTCTACCGAAGAAAATTAATATAAAAAAGATAATTGCTATACTGTGTTCTATAATTTTCTAAAACACTTATTATTAATTACATAATTGATCATCAATTAGCGTATAAATTCTAAAATATTATTATTGTAAGAAAATAACTTTATGAAAAATTCAAAATTTATAAAAAATTATATTAAATTTAAAGAAAAAAGCATATTTAAGCGCCTTTTGAATTTAAATTTCTGACTTTTGATATAAAAAAAAAATTAATAATGTACAATTAGTTTTTATTCAGTTTTCTCTCTCTTTCTCTCTCTCTCTCTCTCTCTCTCTCTCTCTATATATATATATATATATATATATATATATATATATATATTTCTAAAATATTTATTATTATCGAAATCGTTTATATTATATAATAAAATAAATAATTGGTGCAGTAGATGAAATTTTTATAAAAAAACTTATATCCATTATATTATTATATCCATATATATACCTTAAATTCAGGAAAAAAATCCAAGAATGGAAAGATATTCGACAAAAATTCAAATGCTTTGAACATGGGATACCATGCTATATAATCTTTTTCCTGTGACAAATAAGAAGCGAGTTCCCAAAACACGGAGAATTCAAGTTTCTTCTCTATCGCAAAATGAAACGCATCATTGATGATTTGCGCTCGATTGAGAACATGTATATTACTATATTCTTTAGAATTTAAGTATTGTGCAATTTTTCGCCAATTCTCAGTATCATAATTAACACGATAATATCCTGTTATAAAATAAATTATTTTTGTCGATTATTAAATACTTTGAAATAATATATATTAATTAAACATATTTCGAGATGTTAATAAATATTTCGATATTAAATATATTATTATAATTAAAGATGTTTGCATCTTCCGTCTTTATTAATTTAATATAAAGGCTATATCAACAATTCGACATATTACAGCAAGAAATAAAAATTATATATATATACTTGAAATAATATACAATATAAACAGACAATAAGATATAAATTTATTATTCAATATTTACCAGCTTGTTGTAAGTTGAAAATAATCCATTGATTTTTCTCAAGAAAGAATTCAATTGTTGAACTCCATGATGTTAACCAAACATTTGATCGAGTTATAGTAAAATTGGGAGTTGACTCCGTGGTATAAGTAACAGGAATATAATATCGATTCTCATCTGATTTGTTGTAAAATTGTACCGTTACGTTTACAACATTAGTAGAATAATTTCGCGTCACCTTCAACACGAAAGGATACCTCTGCATAATCAACGAATCTATCATGTTTTCTATATCAAACTCATACGCGGGATTCAATTCAATCAAGACTGATCTCAGAGCACTCCATAAATCACGAGAAGTTGTTGCTTCAGGATCAACTAATCTATAAGATTTAACATTATGATAATTTTAATACTATATTAAAATTGATAAATAAATATAATAAGAAAGAAAATCATAATTTACACATAATTTATTTTCGTACTTTAATCTATTTAATCTATAACTCCTATAGAAATAGAAATTTATGAACTTTAATATAATTGTGTGTGTGTGTGTGTATATATATATATATATATATATATATATATATATATAACATATAATATATATAAAAATTAATATTTAATTAAAATTAAATTAAATTAATATTTATAAATATAAATTAATATATATCTATTAATAATTGTATCAGCATTTATTGTGAATAATTAAATAATAATTTTAATTTCTATATTACTAAGATTTTAGAGTTTATATTCTATGTTAGTAAAATTATATTCTTGAAATAATATTGAATTTAAATTGTTTGTAATTTAGAAAATATGAATCTCTATCATATGTATTAAGAAAAACTCAAGTTGAAATTTAATCTCCATAAAAATTTATAAATATAAAATAGTATAAATTTTAGTATAAATTAGTATAAATTAGTATAAATTAGTATAAATTAGTATAAATAGTATAAATTTGAGTTTTCAAATATCTATGTCTTTTAAATGTTAAAACAAGAAATATATTATTAAATTTATTATATATTTTGATTTCCTTTTTCTCTATGACATATATTGTATATTATTACATTACAATACATTATACTTACTGATTGTTCAAATATTCGTTGATTCCTATTAAGAATATGTTAGATGACAATGTTCGTTCTAACATACGCCATATAATGGACCCTATAATGTTTAAAAGAAAAAAAATTAATATATTTAGAATGCCTTTACTGCAATGCGCAATAAAGATTTGTGAATGTATATCTGTAATTAATAAAATTAAATATATCACAAAGTTTGCGTAATTAATTCCAAATAAGCAGCTATAAAAGAATTGGTAAATATATTTCGACGAAAAAATTTATAATAATGGATAAATAGTGAATGATTAAATATTTGTAAAAATAATAAATCAGACAATTATAAGGAATCGGATAGTTTTGTGTTTTTTTGGAGTCTTAGATAGATATGTATAGTTATAATTTAAAAAATTACGCATTATAAAATTATACAAAAATTTAATTTTAAAATTAGATACTTTTTTTGTTTCTGTTATTGCATATATTATAAGAAAATATATTAAAAATAATAATAATAAAATTAAATTTTACAGATGAAGGACCTCGCACGGTTCTTATGGAAATTAAACTTTAATAAAATTTGCTGAAACTTTGAAAATAAATAGTGAAAACACAATAAAAGTTTAAAAAATGTCAAAATATAAATGCGACATTAGTTGATGAAGTCGTTTCGTCGCAAGTCAAATATCGAAATAAGATGATATTTAAATATTATTAAGGAAAAGTAAATAATATATTGTAAATATATAATAATAATATATATAGAATATGAAATATATAACAATAATATATATAAAATAATATCACAGTTGATCATTTTTATTAATACATTTTACTAATATATTTACGTGGAAAAAATATTTTGCCGCTGTCGCCATAACATGCTATTTGATATTTGATAAAATATAATTAGTTAAAAGTATAGTAATGTGGATTTTTTCCCTATCTCCTTTTTTGGATGAGGAAAGGATACAGCTTCCCTAATTCCTAAAAGACTAGCCTCTCGAAATAATTGAATACGTGTTTCATTTTTTCGTAATTTTTTAACCGTTTCCGAAATATAGTGCATGAGAATCTTATGGACACCTTATATATACATGCATGTATATTTTTTCCACGTAAATATAATATCTATATATTAATAAAAGTAATCAGCTGTTTGTGATTGTATTCAATAATACATTATTTCCCTCATTAATATTGAAATAACTTATTTCGACATTTGGACGCTTGTAGTGACGAGACGGCTCCATTAAACGATATCACGTTTATTGTGACTTTTTATTGCCACATAAACTATTTATTTCCAGAATTTCTGCAAATTTCACTAAACTTCAAAATTCATTTTCCATAAGAATCGGGGTCTTTTGTTTATAAATGACTTTTCTCATTTTTTTATGAAATTAATTTAAAAATATATAATTATTTAATTGTTTAATTCTGCAATATTATATGTATACCTTTGATATGAGAAAGAGGAGAGTGTAAATAATTTTCATAACAGCTTTCATCATATTTTATAGTAGAATTTATAGCAAGATAACTATTTAGATAGAGTAATTCATGTTGAACTTGAACTACAAATAAATCCATCATCCGGGAATATGGCAGAGCCTAAAATCAATTCGATATAATCATAACTAATCATAAATAATTAAAAATAAAAAGTTTTTGATACACATTAAAAGTAACATTATTGTGTGTTATTGTTAAGAATAAAGATGCGTATTCAAGTAGTGATAAAATAACCTTGTCGATAATGTATGTTTGAAGAAATACTTTAAATCCTTCATTTAACCATGTATGATACCAATAAGGTGGCTCCAACAGATTGCGAATATATTTTTGTACCATTGCACGTGCAATTAAGCGCGCGATTATCGTTTTGTATGCGACAGGATCTAATTCTTTATTATAAGTGATATCTGCTTCTCTAAAAAATAATATTTATTATATTAACATGTATGAAAAATTTTGAATATTAATATAATTTCTTCTTATGTAAATGGATTATAATATTATAGATAATTAAAATAGTTTTTAATATACACCTATTTTAACTACATATATTACCTATAAAAAATGAAACCGAAAATCTGTTTGATTTCATCTTGTAAATCCGGGATTGCGACATGATCCACTTTGCTCTCAAATGGAACAGAAGTCTGCTCAAGAGCTCTCCTCAAAATATTCCAATTACAATTACGCATGTATACACTAGCATAAAAAATAACAGTTTCTGCAAATTCTAGATGCAATTTTGATTGTGGTCTGTACCATAAGATTTGATTAATGGCTTTTTCATCAACCAAGATGTTTATCCGATTAAAATCGAATATCAAAAATGCTATACTATCTATGGAGATCGAAGCAGATTCATGAAAATATGTCCACGTCATATTATTGAACGTCAATATATCTGTTTTTTGTATCTGCATATTTGACAAAACTGTGTATTTTGGATAATGCAATATGGAAATAACAAAAGGAATTCTTAATTTTGGCTTGCCCCAATATGGAAATAATTGCTGTTTTTTTGTTTGGATACCTGTTGCGATTAACCACCTGCCATATTTTAATGATATGCTTTAGATAAAGACTAATTTTAGATAATTGTAAGAATGCACAAATGTACAATTTATTTGGATATTTTAATATATTTTTTACTTACTCTTTTTTTCCATCTTTATTTATGTACGGAGTCCCGAACAATTTTTTTACGATATTAATTGGGGTTATAAACTCTATATGCAATTTGTACGTTCCATGCAATGTGACATCACCAAAATCGAGCACGATAATATTGTTTTCAAAATGATTTACTAATTTTATTTCATAAATCGTACCATTATTTTGAGTTAATTCCAATGCTGTTACTTCCAAATTTGGTGCATAAAAACTCACGTATCGTTTTGCATAAAAAATATTTAAAGTGATCATGCATTCGTTAATGAGATAATTATCGTATAATATTAACTGTATGTTATAATGTATCGGAAATATATCATCTGATGTACTGCTTGGTTTGTTGTTTAATACATTATGCACGACTTTCGATTCTTGATGCTCGACTTTCCCTTCATCGATTTCTATTCCTTTAATTATTAATTCCTCATCGATTTTGATTTTAATTGATTCCTCTTCATCTATAGATGTTGCTTTTACCATTATGGCTATGCATATTATACCACTACTTAATAATAGTTTTAAGAATGTCATGTTAAATTTCACTCAGATATCTATAAAAAACGTTACTTCATTAAAAACAAACTAGTTATAAAGAATATGCAGCAATTTAATCGACTTTTGTGTGAAAAAACGTTCAAGATTTCAACTAACATTTCGTAAGAAAATAAGATTAATGTAAAAAAAAAATAAAATAATAAAATTTAATAAATAAAGGAATGATTAGAAAAGATAAATATTAAACTTATTGAAACGACATATAAAATATTTTTCTTGGATTTGAATACTAGGAGACATAAATGACGTATTTAATTAATTCCAAAAAGGACAAACATAATAAACATAGTTTTTATTTATCTCAAATTTAGTTCTTTTAAAGATTTTTTCTAGTGCAATTACATATTTCGGTGTCTTGCATATTGTGACATACATAATAAATTTTGAAAATACTAATCTTTTTCTTATATATATATATATATATATATATATATATATATATATGTGTGAAATTTAAGCATTGAAATGTAAGAGAAATAAAGGAATATTCTCAACAACGGGATTTTATACATGATATGGATTGTATGTTTACTAACATGTTATTTTCAAGATCAATCTGCTCCTTAAGTAAGAAACGTATTGAAAACATACAAACAATATACGTATAACGGAAATAAAATATTATCAAATATTTGAAATTTTGATGCTATTGCAAATTGGATCAAACATTCGGACAAAATTCTAAAAAGACTATGTGTTAACATTTTTGTAACATATCTTTTTGAATAAAAAATGTTAATTTTTCATACGTTCATTATATATCCAAATTAACATATCCTACTGGACATTCATTATAAAAAATATTTTAAAAACAAAACATAGGTAATATTATACGTTTATAAGATAGATAATTTTATAACTATAGCTTAGATAATTGCATAATATTTTATAGCTTACATAATTTTATAGCAATAATATAAAATTAATTACACAATAATTTTATAATGTCAAAAAGAACTTTTGTTCATAGATTTGACATTTTCTATATGTCAAAACGGTCGAAACATGCTATCACAGTATAAACGTTTCTATTAATTATAATATAAGTAAAAGATAAAAATAATATTTACAATAAAAGAAATTAGTCAATTTGAAAATTAAAGAAAAATGTCTTTGATAAAATAAAAGCGTTGCCCATAAATTTTTGTTGCTCCATAAATTTTTGTACATTTTAAAAAAGAAAGCTAAATATTTTATTATATATTTATTTAATGCCTTACCTTATTAGTTGAATCAACCAGATTTAATATATTAGATTTAATAAATAAAATGCATGGACATTCAATCGCGAACGTACTGTTTCGAGAGACTGTCTTAAACTCACGGCTCTGTCGACAAAACTGATACTAAATAGAAGGTACGTAGTGTTATATAAATATCATCTTGATGATACGTAGCATAGGCTACCTTACATATCGACAGAAGTCGATAAGTATATATTTGTTTGTGTTTTTTATTCTGTTTTCATATATAGGGTGTTCCAGATCACCAGTACACCACTTTTAAAATGAAAGTAAATGGCTTTTATAAAAAATCGCGATCAATTTTCAAGTAAATTGGGTACGCTCTATCACATGGTAATATTTTCAACTTTTGATTCCGACCGGAAATACGCCATCCGAGTCGGAAGTTGAATTTTTTTAGAGAAACATGGTACTTTTTATTACAGATTCGAATTGTAGATGAAAAAATAAGAAACTTTTGTGTCAAACGTTTTTTCTAAAAGTGTCTCTGTCAATCTTAAAATTGAAGTTCATTATTTCATCACAGTTACTTTCAAGATCAATTGAAAATATCACCAATTTACTTAAAAATTGTTCGTGATTTTTGATAAAAGCCATTTATTTTTATTTTAAAGAGGATGTACGAGTGGTCTGGGACACCTTGTATAAAGCTTTTATTTATAAAAACAATTTTTCTAGAAAAGTATTTAAGAGAGCAAATTGAGTGAAGAATCGTATTCTCTATATGTAAGATAAATATATTTTACATTTTATATTACATTTTTATCATAAATAATTATCTTTTTTCAAGAATTTAATGTATAGAGTAAATAAAGAAGAGTTGTGTCACTTATAAGATATTTATCTTTATGTTTCCTATTTGTGACACTAATTTTTACGCAAATTAATATATTGTTTGCAGTCATTTAATCGCTATGGTTTAATCTCAATTTAAAGCCAATATACATTTCGTCACATATATTGTTATTTTTGGTTTTAATATTCATTATCTGCTTTTAAATATTTTCCTGAATATTGCTATTGCTATTTGAATCAAAATCGATAATCAAACTTCAATTAAATATTACGTACATGTATTTACAGATATACAGAATGCCTCATAATCTCCTTCAAAAATATTAATGTATGTTAGTGTATTTTATAAAATTGAGTCAAAAATTTTACGAAAATTGAAGCTACAATAATTTTCGAGTTGTGAGCGACTAGTTTGCCAGTATTTTTGATATCGTGTAGCTGGGAATTAATAAATCATGAATTAATAAATCATGAATTCGCGCGTTCAGATATTTCCTAATAGTTCATAATATTTTAGTTATACATATATATATATATATATATATATATATATATATACATACATATATATATATATACATACATATATATATATATACATATATATATATATATAATATTATGATATAATATATGTGAATAATATAATAAAACACTAATATAATATTTTATTATAATATTATATTATATTTTACAATAATGTAATATATTTTATTTTAAAAATATTTTAATTTATAATTTTAATTTATAATTATATATTAATATTTTAATTTATAATTTTAATTTATAATATTATAGTACTAATCCATGCTTTTGTCATTTTTTACTTTCATATTTCCTTTACACGTTCTCTATTATAATACAATTTCAAGTTCACTCCTTTTGCCAAGTTTAGAGTCAATAATAACATTGTGTACTCGCTCGCTTTACTTAAAGCGAAACGACGTTGTCATGTTTAATATTTTCCCGTCTCGTTATGTATATAATATTTGTGAAAGTCAGACTATATATATGAGCGGCTTACGTTAATATTGTTACGCCTATTAATTAGCAAAGTTGCTTCACGACACAAGCTGCAAACTTTGTCCTTAAAGAGTAGAAGAGAATGGGAGGAGAGAACGGAAGCTTTTCTCGTTTTCCTTCTCTGCGGCCAGCTCGAGTCAACTGATTTAAGTAAGTCAATTTCCCTGCTATTTTATTTTAGCGCATTAGACGAAAAGTTACACCGTTCCTCATCGGTACAGAAAATCCTCTGTTTCCACCGTTCTTACAGAAATTGAGCTCGACGAGAACTCAAGTGCGCATAATAACTACTAGATCCGCGCGCGAAAGTTCTCGTTCAGAAGGTCGACTTCACAATCGAACATTCAATCGATTATTCGCTTTGCACGCAACTGATTAATATCACCATCGTTATTTTTTTATTTCTTTAAATATTCCTCAAAACCTCAATTAATCTTGACATCCAATAATTTTGTGATCATGATCGGCATTATTTCAAAACATCGTAATTCTCGAAATAAATTAATTTATTTAATTCATTTAAAACTACAGAGGATTAATCTAATTTAATTATTTCGCAAAATTCATATACACATTACTTTTTGTAAAAAATACTCCCGTAATGTCATGCGATGTGGCTCTTCTTGAATCATTCTTAGAGAGACATTTAATGTCCCGACATTTATATTAGCAATAATATTGAAAGGCGATCAATCGCGTTCAAAAGCGAATAGACAAGCGTTGCGATAGACAAGAATAGGCAAGAGCAGAGGGACCAAAACGAAGAAGAAGACGATGCACGAGTAAGAGGGTCGCACAGTGCATTTTCTTTTCAGCGCACAAAGCGAAGTTTCTCGCTTCGAGAGCCAAGACACATCGTGCAGTTCTCTCTCTCTCTCTCTCTCTTTCCCTCCCCTTTGCTCGAAAGAAGAAACACTCTACGGGAAAACGCTATTTCATCCTATCCAATCGCTTTGTCTGCATCATGCCGAGGTTGACGGCCTTTTAACACAATTTTTCAAGCGGATCGCCGATGCAGCTCGCAACTTATTCCCTCTTCTCCCGGATATCTCTTTCTCTTTTCCTTCGCGTGCCCTAAGTTGAATGGACTGACCTCTTGCCAGCGCTCGAAAGGATGCATCGCGAAGATCAAAAGGCGCGTTCGGCACGAATAAACATTGTGTACTTTGGTACTCGACCCTCATCGGCGGACTTATATGCCGCGCGCGTGCATCCTTTCGAAGTTGCGGGGGCGTAAGAGTCCGTATAAGATGCAACTTTAAATGCAACAGCGAAACTTGCAAACTCTTCTCCTTCGACTTCTTCGAATTCCTCGTAAGGACGGCATCTCCATTCGCGAATCATTCAGATATGTTGGCGTATTTTTATAGAGTTTCTTTATAGCAGGATGTTCTTAAGCATGTGCAAAAAATCGAGAAGCGATTTCTTAGGTAACGCAGGCCGACAAAGAGTAACCCTAAATTTCGCCCATTTTTTGGCCCTCGAATTTCAAATCAAACTATATGCCAAACAATTCTATATAATGGGACATTAATCTCAGAAAAAAAAAAAAATTAAGTTGACCATAGGAGTAGTTTTAGAGATACGGGGGGTCAAAGTGCCCAAATTCTCAATATTTCCAATATTGTCCAAGCACTGTAAACACAAAAAAAAGTCAATACTTCTTTGATAACAGTGAGGATTTGACTAGAATTAGTCAAAATAGTTTTCTGACTCCTCCATCTCTGTTGCTTAATATTTTAAAGGTTGCTTAATATTTAAAACTACCCTCAAAACAGTTTTTACTGAATTTCTCGAATGCAGATTCGAAAGAATGTTTTAAATAAAAGATGTTTGCCTTAAAATTCTGCACAAAAAAAGTCTCTTTCATTTTTTGGATAGGATTAACCCTTTAGTCAGAAATCGCGAAAATTATATCTAAAAATATAAAAATATAAAAGATTAAAATAAAAGATTGCTAGTTGCTATGTTGAAAAACTGATATGAGAAAATGAAAAAAACAATGAATTTTTCTTTCAAAAACTTCGTTGTTCTTTTTGTATTTTAGGAATAGTAATTGATACATTGCATATATTTTCGACTAAAAGGTTAGTCCTATCCAAAAAATAAAAGAGACCTTTTTTGTGTAGAATTTTAAGGCAAACATCTTTTATTTAAAACATTTTTTCGTATCTGCATTTGCTTTCAAGAAATTCAGTAAAAACTGTTTTGAGGGTAGTTTTAAATATTAAGCAACTCTTAAAATATTAAGCAACAGGGATGCAGGAGTCAGAAAACTATTTTGACTAATTCTAGTCAAATCCTCACTGTTATCAAAGAAGTATTGACTTTCCTTTTGTGTCTACAGTGCTTGAATAATATTGGAAATATTGAGAATTTGAGCATTTTGACCCCCCGTCTCTCTAAAACTACCCCTATGCTCAACTTAAATTTTGTCTGAGATTAATGTCCCATTATAGAACTGTTTGGCATATAGTTTGATTTGAAATTCGAGGGCCAAAAAATGGGCGAAAAAACGTGTGTTTTTGGGGTTACTCTTTAGATTCAGAAACCAGAATATACTTTTAAGGTTTTTGATGCGCTGAATTCGAATCCGAGGTCAGAATTTCTCTGGTGGCTCCGGTTTTCGAGATATTCTAACCTAAAAGTGCCCAAATCACGGTTTTTCGAGATATTAGAAGTTATGTTACATCGCAAGGTAATTTTTTTTCATAAAACCATTAATGTGGTCCGAAAGTACTACTCTTCCTCTTTAAAAAATATGTTGATTTGTCCGGATATCTTTTTTTATCTTTGAGAAATCATATGTTTTAAATTAAGTAGTTCGACTTATTTCTCGATATTTGGAAAATGATTGATTGTTTATCAATTAGTTTGTAACAAAACTCATTTTAATATACCGAATTACTATTCCGGATGAGCTTGTTCCCGTAGAATCCGATTAAATTATTTACTTCTCAAAAAACATTATTTTTACAATAGTTTTTTTAAACAAATTGTTTAGACAAATTAAATTTGCAAAACTAATGTCAAATTTCGAATCAGCGTGCATCAAAACCCTTTAAAAATGTATATTTCGTGTACATACATTATATTGTATTTACCTGATGCTATTCAATTTCCGAATATCAAAAATGTCAAACTACTTAATTTGAACATCCAATTATAATTCTTGAGGAAAAATTCACCAATATCCTAAACAATGTTAATTTTCGAAATACAGGGTGTTAAAGTTTTAATTCGAGGACCTAAACTTTGGTCCCGAT